ACGGGTGTAAGAGGTTCGGTACAGTGTGTAACAGGTCACTGTCATGATTTACGGGTGTAAGAGGTTCGGTGTGATAGGTAACTGTGTAACAGGTCACTGTCATGATTTACGGGTGTAAGAGGTTCGGTGTGATTGTGTACAGTGTGTAACAGGTCACTGTCATGATTTACGGGTGTAAGAGGTTCGGTGTGATAGTGTACAGTGTGTAACAGGTCACTGTCATGATTTACGGGTGTAAGAGGTTCGGTGTGATTGTGTACAGTGTGTAACAGGTCACCGTCATGATTTACGGGTGTAAGAGGTTCGGTGTGATTGTGTACAGTGTGTAACAGGTCACTGTCATGATTTACGGGTGTAAGAGGTTCGGTGTGATTGTGTACAGTGTGTAACAGGTCACTGTCATGATTTACGGGTGTAAGAGGTTCAGTACAGTGTGTAACAGGTCACTGTCATGATTTACGGGTGTAAGAGGTTCGGTGTGATTGTGTACAGTGTGTAACAGGTCACCGTCATGATTTACGGGTGTAAGAGGTTCGGTGTGATTGTGTACAGTGTGTAACAGGTCACTGTCATGATTTACGGGTGTAAGAGGTTCGGTGTGATTGTGTACAGTGTGTAACAGGCCACTGTCATGATTTACGTGTGTAAGAGGTTCGGTGTGATTGTGTACAGTGTGTAACAGGTCACTGTCATGATTTACGGATGTAAGAGGTTCGGTGTGATTGTGTACAGTGTATAACAGGTCACCGTCATGATTTACGGGTGTAAGAGGTTCGGTGTGATTGTGTACAGTGTGTAACAGGTTACTGTCATGTTTTACGGGTGTAAGAGGTTCGGTGTGATTGTGTACAGTGTGTAACAGGTCACTGTCATGATTTACGGGTGTAAGAGGTTCGGTGTGATTGTGTACAGTGTGTAACAGGTCACTGTCATGATTTACGGGTGTAAGAGGTTCGGTGTGATTGTGTACAGTGTGTAACAGGTCACTGTCATGATTTACGTGTGTAAGAGGTTCGGTGTGATAGGTAACTGTATAACAGGTCACTGTCATGATTTACGGGTGTAAGAGGTTCGGTGTGATTGTGTACAGTGTGTAACAGGTCACTGTCATGATTTACGGGTGTAAGAGGTTCGGTGTGATTGTGTACAGTGTGTAACAGGTCACCGTCATGATTTACGGGTGTAAGAGGTTCGGTCAGATAGTTTACAGTGTGCAACATCATGTATTTTATCAATGAAGGTCAGGATCAAAGTATTCTTTTGATACCGCGAAATAACGAAATCGTACATTTATTGTGTTAATGTACTATGAATATATTTGGATATTGCAAACCTGATACTGGTTCCCATAGTGATGAGTTGAAAGTTATATATTGTAAACGGTATCTCCGGACTTTCGTGTAGCATGGTTTATTGTATTGTAAAAGTTAACTATGTTTGGCAAGGTTCCACTATCATTTAATGTATGTAACAAGTTACCTCATCTCTGTACAGTAGTTATAACATGTGTAACATTAATTATAACAGGGTTAACTACAGCTACATGTAACATGACCGGTCACGTTAGGAATCGTGCGAGATTGATAACACTGATAGGTGACAGTGAACGCTGACCTGACGGAGCGATACTGTATGTTATAGCTGACAGTTATAGACTTCAAATTGTCTGCAATAGCTTGCTATTTCCTGAACCCATGATACTGTTATTAGAGTAGATTTTTTACAACATCACGGCAGAAGGTGGGAAATCCACATTCAAATTTCTGTTTTCAAGTTCTTACAATAATTTTGCAGGTCGAGGAGAGAAATTTATCTCATGTTACTCAAATGATTCCTTTGGAGGCGACTAATGTGAAAACACCTTGTAGAAATGTTGAAGTGATCTCACCGAATACGTGGAACTCGTACCGACATAAAGGACTTTATCATTTATACTTTGTCATATTTAACACATCACTATACTAAACGTATTTTTTTTAAATGTTATGTTTTCTGTTTACAGACTAAAACAAACTAATATCTTGTAATTCACTGTAACCGTATCTTGAAGCTCATTCTCTCGCGCACCTATGACCAAGTGTTAAACAAAGCCTAGCCGAATTGACTTTATTACATTGTTACCATCTTGTATCGTTTTATCTTTAATCTGTTTACTATCTCGTCACACTATATTCGGCCTTATTGTACATGTGATTTTTGTACAACCAAAAAGTTGGCCGGTTCCTTACCATCTCGTACACTACAATGTCAGTACTAGTACTATCTACAATGGTCATTTGTCTAATGTAGGTGACCATGTAGTCATCGAAAGATCACACTCTAATCTTGTACTAGTTGTGCTATAAGAACTTCTATTCTATTGACATTACCAGCCTGAAGAAAATGTTCCGAAAAAACGAGATACCGCTTTATGTTGTACAATATAGTATATCAGAAATTAAATGCCCGTTTTTATTGTACTCCTAAACCAAAGTTCATATTTTCCATCCTGGGTCATCAAGGGTGATAAGTATACGTTGATAATAGATAATGTTCCTGTATTTTAAACCATTTTATCGTCCAGACTATCAAGGATCCGTTGTGCATTTTCTTATAATATAATAATGATTTTACTCTTAACAGAAAAATATCTTTGGTTAGGGTCCTGACTAAAGAAAGTTACAGTGTCCAAGTACAGCAGTTAGATGGCATATTTTTTTTTCAATTTCAAAACTAACATATCGATAAATAAGATTTTCCCATTAAAAGCTGGTTGATAGTCTCTTTGTACATTCTGTCACGCAGTAAAACTATTTATTTAAAAAATAAATATCAGTCGTTAAAAGTACGTTTAGGCTCTCTACAATAAAAGGTGTTATTTATTCCAAAAAAATCATAAATAACACCTTTTCTCTCGTAAATGTGTCTATCAGTCCTCCATACACTTAAAATTTTGCATTGATATGCCATTTTTCAATTTTCACGGATTCGATTTTTTGTTTCCATCGATCAACTGGAGAAATTGATTGATCGATTGATAATGACAACGTATAAATCACAAGATAAGAAAAACATGCCAGCAATTTAATCATTAAAATGTTTTTATTACCTGTAAACTTAAAACATATGGTAGGAATTGACATAACCGTGATACAGCTTGATATCATCTGAAAACATTTACTGTTATTGATTTAAAAAATGTCATTAACGAGACAAACGTTTCTCCATCAGAAACTGACACTGACGCTAAATATGAATCGTCTAGTCATGTAAAGAAATCTAGAACATATCATTTGTGATCGATCTATTAAAGACATGTTAAATTATAGTTTAATTGCTCAAAGTGACATCCATTTCGTTGTGGATCTGTTAATTCAACACCTAATTTATATAGGTAATTATCTAAACTTATTTTAGATGTTTACGAATCACAGTGTAGTTCATCGCTATACCATACAGCATTTCAGTTTATCTAGCTATGATACATGTATGTAGTTTATCTGTTTATCTGTATATTATCTTCATTTAATTTATCTCAGTTTATCTTACGTAATTTATCTGCTAGCAGTTTATCTGTACAAAGTTTATCTCATATAATTTATCTTTATATATTTTATTTTACGTAGTGTATCGTTTATTTTAGTTTGTCTGTACAAAATTGATCTGTTCGTAGTTTACCTGTCGTACATACTCTTCGTTTATTTGGAATGATTTATCTGTATGTAGTTTAATTATTTATCGGTACATAGCTTACTTACATCTTTATCTATTCATACTTCAGCTGTATCTCTAAATAGCTTATCTTAGGTTATCTGTACTATGACTTTTCCTATACATACTATATCTAAGATTATCTGTACAAAGCGCATCTTTGTTTATCTGCACACAATTTACCTGTGTGTAGTTTATCTGTTAATAGATACATAGTTTATCTTAGTTCATCTGTACATCTTTATCTATGCGTAGTGTGTATGCCTATTTGTACAAAAGTTATATGTTAAATGGTTATAATGAATGTTAATTGATTTGTGTTACCTTATCTATACAATGTTCACGCTTATCAGTGTCACAGTATCCTTGGGATACTTATAACGTGTGTTACTTAATGCAATTCATTAATTAATTATCTTTTTGGAATTAATTTAAGCCTTTCGAATGTCATACGTTCGTAAATAATTCAAATAAGATTGTATTCCATTTAAGCTATATTTTGAAGGAGGTGGGTTTACTATAAACAGCGAACAGTGAAGAGAATTTAATTGATTAAATGGGTTTATCAGCATAGTGAAGGTTTGGGCTATCAATGTTTTTCGGTCGTGCTGTGAACAATAGCATTCGACCCTTTTACTAAGATATAACTCGATACGATTGTTCCGCGTCTTTTGAGTTTCACTTTAGCTACCTTTGTGACAATTCAACACGGTGGGGTACTTTTAAACAATCTAGTGTTTTCCTAATCAATTTAAAATGTTTGATCATTTCTCTCTCATATTTGCTCACGACCTCTCAACCAAAAATGACACCCTCGGCGAGTAGGACATCTTACGAAAGGTGATTGTTATCGTTGCCTATATGCATTGTCACACGATCGCATATATTTAAACACTGTGTGTAAACACCCTAGTTTTCTTTTCCATTCACACATAATAAGCAGATCATTAACTTTTGTACACGTGCGTTAGACTGTTAACCATTCTTGTAAACTTTCATACTCACTGTCCTTTTCTTATCAAATTGATATTATTGACAAAACACTGATGACTAAATACACTTAGCGAGACCCTGAGGTGATAAGTTCCTCGAGCGAAAAGCTAGTGCTAAGAGACGAAAACAAAAAAAATCTGTGGTAGCTATAGTATATATACTCTCTGTATATATTTGTACATAGGACAGTTAAAACGTAAGTATTTGACAGCGCTCACTAAGATATACGTATCAATACAAACGTTAAAAGTCACATGCGGTTTTTATCCAATCACATCCATCCTTACAACTGTACCTGTTTCTACCGAAGCCAATAGCGTATCGAGTCTGGCGATGAGAAGGACTGAATGAGTTACCATCGGGTTATCATATAGATTGTGTTGAAATGTGACGGGTCCACAGCACGAGATTTTAACTCGCCCAAATGTGTCTGTTTTCATCGTATACGGAGTTCGTTCGATCGCTATGGTGGCCCTACCTGTACTTTAAGTGAAAATGAGGATTTCTCGTTGGAGTTTCCAAGGTTGGATTACACTATATGGAGTACTTGTATTAACATGGACTCCGTCGTTTTCTCTCGACAGCTGGATGTAAGTTAATCATAGTAGACAATATAATTATATTTTTACGCATTAAATTAATTAATTAAATTAATTTAGATAAATTATGAAATATTTTTTAGTGAATATAAATACTCAAGATACCATCTACAATATGATTTTACATTTTCTAAATAGTTTTCTTCCCTAGTGATAATATCGGAATTATAACTGATTTCTTATCTCATTGCTTCAAAAGTATCGTCTAACTGATCTTAATTTACTGTGTGTGGAAAACATGTAAGAAATTTACGTACAGTAGTGTTAAATGCTTCCTATCAGGAAAAAAACACGATACAATTGCGCATTTTTTGGCGTTGCGCCACAATCGACAACTTTTCTTTTGGTGCAGAAATATCGTCGGACAGACATACGTTTAAATCTTAATCTTTTAATGTGGCACTTTTCTATTATCAGCGAGTGGGGGATAGGTCGTTAACTTTTATACCACACAGAAACATACCTATAACGTATACACTATATACCTATATATACAATTTCAAGAATGTTTTGTAAATAGTAGGTCTAACGAACTCCAATAGTGTTCCTTATGATGAAAATTTATATTTTCTTTTCGTTCCATTTTATGCTTTTGTTTAATTTCATACGCAACTTCGGTGTGTATTCCAGACTTTCAATTTAAAGAGACAGAATGCATAATTTCATCATTCAAATTCATATAAAGTATTGAAGATACTTCTTGTTTCATGATTAATTAATATTCAGTTTGATCGCCTTTGCACCTGTCTTTTAGGTAATGCACATATTTTCTCCATTGTTTTAGAGTTACTCAAAGTGTTTATTTACAAGGAGTGTTTCAGCTATAATTTACCCAATCAGGAGCACTCGATCGTTCCATATGTTAATTAATCAATTTAAGACATGAAAGTACTGTGAAAATTAGACGAAGCCTCCCCGTCCTTTGTTCTCATAGAACATTTTATATCTAATTATTTAGAATAATAAGAAATTCGGCATGCAGTCGCTAGTGGGAAATTCCATGTTTACACGTGTGGTCCCCCAAAATGCACATGCATGTATTAGGTGCAGTAACGATCGCTATAACATTGACCAATTTAAATACATAGAACATTTGGAAGATAGAAATTAAAGACGAAATAATCATGTAACAAATTTAACGGGGAAAATGTTGAAATATCTTTAATTATGGTTTTCTCTGGATTTATTGTTGTGAACATGGCGTGCCTTTTAAAAAAGTACGCCTATTCAGTATGTATTTACATCGGAAGACCCTAAGATTAAAAATCGGTTTTAAGAGATAAACAGTATGTGTTTATTTACACATTACTGTGATAAACAATCTGTATATATTTACATATGATTACGTTGATAATTTTGGAGATAAAACTTACAGTAATATCACAGCTCGATCTACCACTTGACACACTTGAAGTCTCCACTTTATCAAACAGTAGTATCAGCTCCATTAATTTCTGTCCAAGATAACACTGAAGTGTATTTTGTGCATGATCTACCACTAGCACGATCAATCTTTCAACAAAGATTGTATTCTGTTATTTCAACAATCAATTACCTTTACGTATATTGATTTCTCTTTCGAATATCTTAATTATGGATGAACCTAACGATAAGTGTAAATATAATGACAAATGAAATAAAAAGAAAATTAATTTCCGACATTAAAAATTAACTTGAATAAAGAAATATTAAACGAAAATCGATAGGTTTCATAGAATTTCTAAATAAATAAAACACCTGCTTCGAACCTTATTAAAACGCAAACCGGTTTTATAAAGGTATATATTTTGATATATTCTTAAAATAACAAAATGTTGACATGTGATTTTTCGTATTTCGGATCTATGGACATTGTGACGTAACAATGGCGCTATTTGTCCCCCTACAGGCACTTGGGTGTGTCGTCACTGGCCGCTGTCCCCCAGGACCGCGGCACGTGTAGCTCAGTCCCGGGGCTGGTGGATTTACAACAACAGGAGTGTCTTAAAAACCCCGAGTCTATTTTGTGTGTGAGCCGGGGCGCTAAGGCGGCCATCACAGAATGCCAGAAACAGTTTAAATTCGAACGTTGGAATTGTACAACGTCCCAGAACTACAGTGTATTTGGACCAGTTTTAAAGAAAGGTGGGTATGATTTAATTAAACTTGTTTTTAGACCTTTAATTCCACACGGAAATGTTATGTATATAACGAAACCCACAGCATGCTTGCAGAGTGAGGCATTTTTTTCTCATTCATAGGATAACTGTGATGGATGGCTGTATTTTTACTAATACCTGTGATTTAAGCTGTTTGGTGTATTAACTCTTCGCCATGAAACAGAAGATACATAGATATTAGACTTGATCAAAAGAAATAGAACCCTGAATATGATCTAAAAAAACAACAACAAAAACACCTTGTTAGAATATTTAGACAGATATAGAGTATTTGCACAGGGAATTTCTCCGGGCAGTTTCAGCGTTACAAACTTTACTTTTTTCTCTCGACAATTACGGGTTTTATTTTCAAATTATTCCGACGATAAACTCGTGAAATTCTGTTTAGCGAGTTCCCTCTTTCTTAAACAGGATTGACAATTATGTAACCTATCTTTGTTTTTATTTCATTTGCACCTGTATCGTTTCGCTTTCAACCATAAAGATAAAATAAACTTTGATGCCATGGAAATTCTCTTTTGGCTATTAGCATAATCCAGAAGGTTGTTTTTAATATAAAACAAAATGATAAAATTTCACACAAAGCAAGGAAGAGATAAAATTCTAGAAGCGTGTAGACAAAACACAGGTTCAATATCTTGCCAAAAACTTCCCCAACTTATTGGATAAAACTTACCCATGTAAATATGGGTTTCCACAATATCATGTTCTCGTTTTATTAGACAACCTCAGATTTTTACTTTTCCATTTGTGAAATTTCGAGTATAAGTAACAGAAAATATGTTTAGAGAATACAACAAAACATGCGGTTGGGATAAACTATGTAATTTAATAATTTTGAAAAGAAATTTGAATATTATTACTGGGTCTTATGCCAAACGTTTTCAAACCACAGAACCATGGCGATAGATTTATTGCTTTTACGCTTTTTACATTCCTATAAAAGTACATATTCATGCAATACCCCCGACCTTAATTAAGCCGAAACGGTGCTGAAATGGGGGCCAATATGGCTATAAATACACGAGGTAGGATATTATATAAACTATATCTCTCATATGACATTTTGTTGGTACCCAGTACCCGAGCCAGCGAGCGCGCTGTGATGTTGAAACCATGCCGAATATGTCTTATAGTGGGGGTCCATTTGCATTCAATGAAGTCAGCAGGGTTGATTTATATTACCTGTCTACTATTGAGGAAACTGACAACGACATATGTATATCATTTATGTTCAAATGCAGAAATGTATTTTTCTGATCTAGACAGACATGAAATATATTCAGATCACAGCGTAAGACTGCCCCGTATCGTCATAGTGAGTTAGTTGCTATCTGACGGAGCTTTGAAGAGTCGAGATACTCGGCGAACGTAGTGTAAGGTTGTTTGAGCAATTTGTTGGTGACTATAGATTAGATAGAGCCACATTTAAAGGTTTTCGTACGATACAGTGCGCACATATATCTAGAACTATAAGAGGTGCCCATTGACAACTTCGCACCTTGAGACCTATCCTTTTACCCTCGTCTGTTAAGCGAAAAAAGAATTTTATTTAGGGGTGTATATACCCTTTTAAAGGATCGCCATATGGAATAAATATCCATGTATCTAAAACTTGAGCGTCAAGCCCTGTCGATAGGAGCCCGGATAGCAAAGCTCGCGCGGTAAACATGCCGTTTTGAGGCAATCGGGCACTCTCTATAAGACTCAATCAAACCGACCAGACACTTGTAATGTATAAACACATAAAATAGACATAGGCAAGGACGTCTGTATTCATACGTTCTGCTCTATCAATCATTCATGTCTAGCGTGCAGGTATATCGCGGAAAACAAATTTTGATAATGAGCGTTTTGTTATATTTGTCGCGTCACGGGACGTTAAACGCTCAAATATGTGCTAACGTGGGACGGTACGGCTCAGATAAGGCTTATCATCACTTTGACTCTAGCTTATTAGTATATTTTATTTCAAAAAATATACATGTTTTGACAAATTACGGAAGTCCTTTGGGCGAAATGCACGTATCTGCTTATAAACGGTTATGTTTTGTTTGTTTGGTTACTGGATCTACCGCCCCATGGACAACCAGGGTCATTTTGAGGTGGTGAATACCTTACTGAACAACAAGGGGGAGGTCCGTCGTATATCATTCAGAGGAATTTGATTGACATCGATAGCACGACCACGATAACACAGATCGGTCCGTTTCTCAGATTCACAAGAAAAGCATGCTGCCTAGGGTATGGAGTGTCGAACCACGCACCAAAACCGGTCCGGGTGCTTCGTATACCAATCCAGAACCAAACATAGTCTGCTGTTCACCAATGTTCTGTGAAATAAATAAATTCTGAAATTTCTCTGGACAAATATATATATTACGGTACATCGTCACGTGACTGTATCATATAATTTTGTTCTCTAACTGGCTTTGTTATTGACTTCAATACCGATACTGTGGAAGGTAGAGTGTGTGAAGTTGAAGAACTCCGGTATAGGCAAGTCTGTGTCCTAATTTCCGTTTGTGTGATATAACAGGTAATGCCGTCTTATGGCATATCGAAACCTTTATTGTCCCTCGGTGCTAGTTGTTGACCATGTGTTATCAGCCGTTTACTCCGATTTTTTTCTTACAAAGTAACCAACACGGATAGCATTTCGTTAAACAAGCGTGATGATTTTAATTGTGACTTTATGCTGAAATTTCATGGTTGTCACGGAAATGTATTTCCTGGTGTGATATGGAGTGCGAGATATTTTCCCTGCTGATCGTGTTGTTTACTTTGTTCTCATTTGAGAACGTGACATTACTCTGATTGACCTAGATTTGCATAGAGGTTCTCGTCGATGAAGCGGACAACGATTACTCTTAAGGAACTCCAGGTTTTATCCCCTTTGACCGTTAGAGAGGTACGCATTAGATGTCTATATATTTAAAAAATGTAAATATCAGAATAAATGTTAGTATTGTGTGGATGGCCTGAGAAATGGCTACAAATCTTCAGTGTTGGAAGCAATGACGCATGACAATGTTTACTTCCGGTCTAGCGCACTCGGAATCTTGTGTATGGCAGGTTACTATGGAGGCACGAGTCTTGTGGAAGACATGCCGTTTGTGATGCGTTTCCAGTGCTCACTCCATAGCTCAGGAGTAATAACAGTTAATAGAAATTCAGTTGACACGACGTTGGCTGTCCCCATCAAACTTCATTATACAGAAGATCGAAATAGTTGTGGTACATTTACCGACACCGTCGGACGCCATGTTGAAAGTTCAATCGGCCTCCTGTCCGATAAATACTCGCTAATGTATGGTCTCTGGTCTATTCAGTCACTACACGATGGGCCAGTTAATGGCTTTTTAAATCGAACATTTACGGTAAATCTCAACTTGACGAGCGAATGAGACAAAAATACATAGAGAAACGGAATAATTTGTGCCATATCGACGAACACTTGATTTAAATAGCAATGCATCATTGCTTAGTTGGTAGTGGAGATATAAAATCCTGGTTAATATAAACACATTTCTTTCCCCCCATAATGTTTATTCGATATACAACCAATTTAAGTTTTAATGTTCAAACAAAGCGGAGACATGATCGCACTGCCGCCCTTCTCCGTCGGAGCCGACATATTCTCACTATCAGTCATCTATTAATTTTCTGTATAAATTTATAGAATAAAAAAAAAACAAAGCAATCAAAAAGAATCTCTCCTCATAGTTTCTTTCTGCCATTTTGTATTACTTCTCGACATCGCCCCTCCATAACTGACTGTAGCATTCGCCCCCTGCCGAGTCCCACGTGCGTGTTTGCTATGTGTGCTACAACATTTCAAGGTCTATGTAGCATGGATTATACAACATGGCTAGATCTACAGTCTTTCGATCTGTCCCCATCAACAAACCCAGTAAGCTATTAAGAGATGAAGCCATGCCCGGTTACACGCACGCAAATACGCGTTCTTTGCTATTTTTTCTGTGGCAATTATCAAAACGAGTCTAACGACTATGATGCAATCTTTCATCGCTTTTGGGATGGAAGAAGTGTAAGGTACACAGACAGCTTATTTCTACAGCAAACACCAGAAATTACAAAGTATTTGTTGAAGATTGTACTCCAGAACAAGAGTTGTTTTCAACGACAGCTGACTTGGACACGCGATCTGACAAATGAACCAGCAAATCTTTCGTTAACACTCAATAGAGATCATTTGAATTGAAATACTGCACCACAACTGTTGCATCATGTATTATATACAACCTTATGTAATATGATAGTACAACAACCAAACAACAGATGCGTCGAGACACTAGTACACTTTATATCAAAATTCCTTATTATGTATGACAAACAAGTAACAATATTTACGAAGTCTACAAAATACGATATTTCTTAAATAACCGGATTCTGTTTCCATTTTCATGCTCTTCTACCTTAAGTTAGGATACACAATATTGAGGTGCTTGTACATGCTACATATTCGTTCGCCACAGTTTGTTTCAATGTGACCTGATCCGGCTCTGGTTGCTATGTATCGTGCTAGCATTTTTGTTCTTCCCAAACAATATGAATGCTGCTTGAAAGTGCTCAGAATGGCGAGGAAGACTTTTAACTTGAAAGACAATGATACCAATAGATTATACTTTAGAACTTCTCCTTGAGTATGTTTAGATATCAACTGCTCTTATTTCAAATCGTCTTCTTGAGTGTGTATGGTATCATTTAGCCGGATATGATGTTGTCGTTTGCTTAACATCTTTTTAAAGGTCAAATAGTGTGACGTCAACGTGTAATATCTGATGTGAATGGAAATTTTTATTTACGTTTTATCTTATCAAGGGTCAACTATATTATCAGATACGTTTGTTTATCAGATACACGAGTGTTTGTTTATGTTTGTAACATTTGCATCTCATAACAGGCCTAAAATGACCTTGATGTTCCCACCCTCATTTACAT